TACCGGTAAAGTTTTCTATCGGTACCGGATGTGACGCAATTTTTCTAAAAACTCCAATTTTGTCGAGTCGGAACGTCTTTTCACTAGCAAATGTTAATTTTTGCAAATCTGATAGATCAAGATAAATGCCCCTACAAAAGGCGCACAAAATGTCGGACTCACTTTTTTAAATTTTGGTTTTGTATTTGCGCCATTTCGATTTAAAGGTGAAAAAAGGTGTAAAAATGAGCTATTTACAACCCATTCAGGCTTTTCATATTTCAAAATATTTCTTCGCAACTATCATAAACTTGTAGCATTAATCCATACGAAGAGAATCTATGTCAAAATTAGTTTGTAATATGAGTATTTGCCGAGAAATGGTCAATTTTGCATGAGTCACTTTTTACGCTATTTTGCCTGTAAAAGAGCCAATTATTATTGGATTTTCATAAAAATGACACCATTTGATGCGTAATGTCAATTTTGACTAGTTCAAACCAATTTAACATTTTCAATGTCACCGGAAATGGCGCCATTTGGGCAAAAATGTATTTATAGCCTTCAAAACAGATATTTTATTCAAACAAGACTGGTTTGTAATGTTTTCAAAATTATGATATTTGATTCCAATCAACTAATAGAATGAACCCATACGATCATATAGATATCACAACATGTTTTCTAAATTGTTCAGTTGTGGAGAAATAGGCGATTTTCAGCAGGTCACTTTTCAAAGTTTTTGGTCCATAAAAGTGGCAATTATTATTCAATTTTCATAAAAATTTCACTGTGTCATACCTAACGCCATTTACGGTTTCATACAAGGAATTTACTATTTTCATTATCACCGGAAGTACCGTCAGTTTGTCAAAAACTGTATTTTTAGCCTCTAAAACAAGTAATTGTTTGAAGTAAGCGATCAATCAATACGATCATATTGATATCACAAAATAGTTTCTAACACCTTCCCTTGCCGAGAAATAACCAATTTTGTCAGGATCACTTTTTAAGATTTTTCGCATTTTAATATCAGTGTATGGGTTCTGGGTTAATTATTTATTGCCTTATTTGTGTAAAAGAAAAGCCCACTTGGTGCAAATTCTCAACTTACTTCTACATATAAAAGTTTCTGACGGCACCAGAAGTGACGTAATTTTGCCCAAAACTTCAATTTTGACGTGTCGAAAGGTCTTTTAAAAAGCAAATATTAATGTTTACAAATCTAATAGATCAAGATGAATGCTCATACTAAAGACGCAAAATATTATGTCTTGCTTTGTTTTGGTTTTTTTATTTCGGTTTTGCATTTGCATCATTTTGATTTAAAGCTGAAAAAAGGTGTAAAAATGAGCTATTTACAATGCATTCAGATTTTTCATTTTTTACAATATTTCTTGACAACTTTCACGAACCTGTAGCATTAATCCATAAGATGACAATTTATGTCAAAATTAGTTTGTAATATTAGCAGTTGCCGAGAAATAGGCAATTTTGCATGGGTCACTTTTCACATTATTTTGCCTGTAAAAGAGTTAATTATAACTGATTTTCTTTTTTTTTTCACCACATGATGCCTAATGCAATTTTACATTTTCAGTGTCACCTGAAATGGCGTCATATGGGCAAAAACTGTATTTATAGCCTTCAAAACAGATATTTTTTTCAGAGGAGTCTGATTTGTAATGTTTTTAAATTTATGATAATTGATTGCAATCAACAAATAGAAAGAATCAATACGATCATACAGATACCACAAAATGGTTCCTAACTTGTATGGTTGCAGAGGAATTGACAGTTTTCTACAAGTCACTTTTTAAGGTTTTTGGTCTATAAAAGTGGCAATTATTATTCGATTTACATAAAATTTTCACCATTTGATGCCTGATGCCATTTATGATTTCATGGAACTAATTAAACATTTTCATTATCACCGGAAGTAATGTCGTTTTGGCAAAAACTTTATTTTTAACCTTCAAAACAAATATTTTTTGAAGTGAGTTATATTTATTATTCGTTTAAGATTATGACATTTGATTCCAATGGAGATATAGATTGGATCAATACGATCATATAGATGTCCAAAAATTGCTTCTACCATCTTTCTTTGTCGAGAAATAACCAATTTTGTCAGGATCAGTTTTTAAGACTTTTTTTCACATTTTAAGTTCCCATTAGATAGTCAGTTAACTTAGTGGTAAGTTAGTAATAAATTTTGTCAGGATCACATTTTTGACATATCTAACGCATGGTAAAAAATGTATAAATGGATTTGATATTGCTGGATTTGGTTGATTCTGCGTCCATTTCATAACACGTGTGCAATGCTAACGTTGAAAAAATCTGTTTAACGGTTTCATTGGTACCGAATGTGACATAAGTTCAAGGGTAACGAGGCACCGGAAGTGACATAAGTTCAAGGGTAACGTGGCACCAGTGAAACCCGTCATTACTGCGTCGCAGTTCTAGTTCTTAATATTTCTGCAACTTTTTGACGGTTCTCGTCCTTTATGGGGATGAAGTTTTCGCACATTTAGGAGGTTGTAACCATTCTTCTGGTTCAAAAGTGTTGTGCCTTTTCAAAGGGGCTGTAATGGCAGCTGCACACGCCACAGCTACAAAATGGTTAACAGAATACCATTCATTTTTATTCGGTACACAACTCATCCTACACCACAATATAGTTAGTTCGAGGACATCTTCTACCTGACAAGTTGGCCGAAAAGTGCAATTTAAATGCTTGTGCGCAAAACCCTGAGGTCCATTATATGGTGGATAAATAATTTTAATTGGTCTGGATACCACGTTACATAAAGCGATAATTGTCCACGCAGAGGAAAAATGTCCTATATTGGCACAATCAAATACAGCAGTTAAAAAGGTTGGTGACAAGACTATTCAGCTTTGAAAATTCTATATGTTTCGTACACTATATGTTTCTTGTGTATTACACGAGCTATGTCCCTTGGTTACGACTTCCAAACTTGCTTGGAAATTGCATTTTGAGGGGCATTTTGACACTAAAAAGCGTCACCGTCTGACATGACTGGTGAAATATACCTAGCCTCGTTTTTTGAGTCCCTTATTACAAATTGCGTTGAAACGCATTATGGTACATGATTCGTGTACCAGTGGTAAAATGTTTATTTTGTCTTAAATATTGGATATCAGAAGCCCTACATGTACTTTTCCCAGTAAGATCACACCATCAATGTTGATTTAAATTGACAAATAATTTGTGTTTTTAATGTCGAAGATTTTGGATAATATTGAGTTAGAGACTTAGCTACTTTAATATCCCAACGAATAAAAAAGTTCTCTCTTGAAAAAATTGACGTATTTACTTGTATTTTTGACTGAGTTCAAGACAACATGGCTTTCCTCCCTCCCGTGTTGGACGAAACCATTGAATCTGTTGCGGGGTATGACAGCGATTTTGACAACATGGTTGCAATCAAAACAAAGCGTCCTCATTTCGATCGTTTGAGTTTGGGCAACGAAAAATATCAACTGAAGACAGTTTTGATCGTATTGTGATATGGTGCAATATTTGTTCATCATGAAAATATATTCTTTATCAATTATTTTTTTTTTAATTTATTGTAAATAATACTTAAATCACACCATAGCCCCCACCTTCAATAGAAGGCTTAATCTCGCTTTAACTACATAAAAATCTTATCTGATGTTGTAAAACTCATAATCGTTGCTTCAGGAACATGTATTTAGCCCCATAATTTTTTAATACCCTGTACACGTACGTTAGATCTATCATGTTATATATCAGATTAAAGATATTCATGGGTAAAATTTAAGACCCGTAAAACGAATGTCATTGTTTTTGTGTTGTATTTGTGTTCAAAAGAAAATTCTTTCACCCGACTCTAATCCAAAATATGATTAAAACAAAATATTTCAAAAGGTAAAAAAAGCTATAAACTTTGCAGAGATTTTACTAGAATGTAAAAGATAGTAACAAAATAAAGGAACAACTTGAATTGTCGTAAAAGTACCGCAAACCGTGACATCTTGTAACCCCTTTATACGAAATGATCTCTCCCGAAGAATGACGTAATCGGCTTCCATTTTGGTATTTCTCCATGTCGAAAGTTTGTGGGAATTCATTTTTTTCAAGAGAGAACTTTTTTATTTGTTGGGATATTAAATTGTGCAATGGATTTTATTTAACGGGAGTTGATTTCAAACACCCAGGTAAGTTTAGAATACCGTAACCAAAGTTAAGTAGTTTGATCATAATCGAAGAAATCCGTTTAAAATTTACGATGGTTCAGATAGTAGCTACTTTAAAGTAGCTAAGTCTCTAACTCAATATCATCAAAAATCTTCATTGTTGGAAACACGAATTATTTGTCAATTCAAATCAACGATGGTTTTGGGATCTTACAGAGAAAAGATGGTCTTCTGATATCCAATATTCAAGACAAAATAAACATTTTACCATTGGTAGGCCTACACAAATCGTAAAGGCTACCATAATGCATTTCAGTGCCATTTGGAACAGGGGGCTCAAAGAACGAGGCTAGACATATTCCACAATTCAGATCAAATTGTTACGTAATATTCTTTTCTGGAGAGCATGCACAATAAATACCATCGGTGTAGACTGTAATAACCAGACGCTAACAATTGTCTTTCACTTGTGAGACTTCTGGCGTATTTCGCCGAACATAACTGATTAGAAATTAGAGTAAAAACGGAAATGATTGAATGTAAATCAGTTTATTTACATTCATATTACATTATTATATGTGTTGTGACCCATTTCTGTTAATTTCTTGGTCCCAAATATTAGCGACTTACATGTAGTTAAAGATAAAATCCAAATTTTAGTAGATACTTCAATTTTTATTGGCTAAGCACTAAAATCAATCCAATATTATCCAATCAAATTACTAAAATTTGGATTTTATATTAGTTAAAATTTCGTGAAACAGGCCCCAGTGGTCTAGGGATGAGTTGTCATACATTCCTCAGTCCTGAAATAGAACCAATATGTTTACCTGCTGTATCTGAGCACCTGGTTTTATGTGCTAATATCCTTTAGCTGTCTAGCTATTACTGTCAATTTTCTTAGCATTTTACGTGTAGATTCAATATCGAAAATAAAAAAATAGGGCTGTTTCCCGATCCGTTCGTTAATCCATGTGAGATGGTTATAGTTCAACACTATGACACGGCGAGGCAAAAATCCACCAACTGCACCTCTAAGTAGGCCTAGCTACCACTAGGATTTCCAGTCGAATATTTCAGTCATTGGTTAATTAAAATTTAGGAATAAATTGTGTAACTTTAATAAAATACGCACTAATTCAAACATAATTTATCATCGTTTTTGTTTATGTTATATATTTTCCCTCAATTTCAAAATTGATTGTTAAAATTAAAACTGCACCCCCCCCCCAACTCCCAATAATTAAAAAAGAGGGGGTGATATCTTCTACGGTGATTAAAGGCAGTGGCTATTTGAAGTATTTCCCACATGTGGTAAGCAAGAATTTCAAAATAGCCTTACGACTACAGCAGACCGCAATTGTGACCCGATTTTAATGAAACTTACAGGTTATGATAACATTGAGAATCACAGTCTACAGTAGGTATTTTAGAGCTATGGTCGGCAATTTTTTTTTTCGGGGGGGGGGGGGGGGCTGATAGATATCTATGTTGATAATATCTCTGAGTAGCCAAACTTTCGGCCTCGCGGTTTCCGAGATATGGCCACCGATCACTAAAGATTTCCCCGTTGACTTTAATGTTAATTCTCGTATCTTAGACCGACTCTAACTTTTTCCAAAATTTTCGTTGGGTAGAACGCTTTCTACCACAGATGGAGCAACATGTGGCAACCTCTTGCCCAAAAGCACGTATGAGGTTCTTCATGAAAAACTTGAGATACACAAGCTGCAAGTAGAGACAAGTAACCATGCAATTCGGCCCTACATTTCAACCTAACCAACCTCTCAACTCTTGTGTCCTTCTGCATCAAAATTATGAATATTCACCAAAACCTGGCAAAAAGTGTATTTTCAAACCCTTTTCTTCGATTCTACATCAAAAAGTCAACAAAAATTGCCATGCAAAAGGGGGGAAAAGGAAAAGGGAGAGGAAGACTAAAAATAGCTTTGGCCCTTGTTTCGTGGGGTGACGGTGTAGGAATATTTGGTGATCTGTGTCCTTGCGGGGGTTATCACGTGGCACGTCTACAGTCCGCAATAATCAACTAATTTCAATGAAACTCACAGGTTATGATAACAGTAATAATATCTCAATCTGATCAAAATACAGATCTATATTTCGTTTCGTTTTTTATACTTTCGATGGCCTACACTACGGAGAGGCTGAGGCTATTTGCCACATGTGGTAAGACAATCCGGAGACTATTTGCCACATGTCTCCGTACCGCAATTATCAACCGATTTCAACGAAACTTGCAGATTATAATTACATTAATAATATCTCAGAGTAGCCAAAATTTCGACCACTTCCGGCTAGCGGTTTCCGAGATATCAGGTTACCCCACATTTCATGTGGCACGGCTACAGACCGCAACTACCAACCGATGTCAATGAAACTTGCAGATTATAATTACATTAATAATATCTGTTTTCTTAAGACGCTTGTCTTCTCAGTAGTTATAACAATGCAACTGTTCGTTTTTACATTTTATATTTCATAGCTGCTTACATATGGTACAATCATAGTATAGATTACAATACTAAAGTCATTCTCAAACACTAGCAAGCCAGGCTCGCTGGGTGAGTCTGCTGATATAAACTGCGACATCTTTTCCCTTCCAAAAGCTGTCTGCTGTCTAGCGACTTCTCACAAGTATGATAGTTTTGTAGCTTTGGGTTTTGGACCTTCAATTATCTAATGTTTACCAAATTATAACTCTTTTTTATGTAACCATCTGCCACTCATTCGCTAACTTGATTTAAGTACAAATACTACATATATGTGAATCTAATAACTTGCCAAAGATATTAATTAATATAATATAAGCCCATCATTAATCTCAAGAGCAAAAATTCTAAAAAAGTGTTACAATATCAGTTTACCACACATTTCATTTGAGACGACTACAGTTCGTGATTATTTATCTTAAATATTATCCTTTCTCTAACTAATCCATGTGACAGACAGATTTTCATTACCAATTTGATGAATAAATTTAACCATGATTTTCAGTTAGCCTTAGGTCTAAAGTGTCCAAAATTGGTTGATGGACATCCGGGTCACTTTGCCAAATGTGAGTTTGGCGGCCATCTTTAAAAATGGCCGCCATTTTTTTATTTGAAATAGTGCAAGTCAGGGAAACCTCCACAACTACTCAACAGGTTCACTTATGGATATGTAAAATGGCTCAAAATGTTCATAATACAATTCTAAATCTGCTGGTATATGACTCATGTTGTTTAAGAAATGCTTTCGGTTTCAAAATAAAAGACTAATCTGAAAACAGCAATATTTTCGTTTTTTTTTCATTATGTCTGTTCATAAGTTTACTAAAAAAAATCTTGTTCAGACCCATATAAGCCAAATTATCTATTTGGTCAACTAAAGTGATTTACTAGATATCAGAAACATTGATCATAAAAAAATAATCTCTAATATGAGTGTCCAAAATCCAAGATGGCATAAATTCAAAATGGCGGCCAAAAGTTGCTCAAATGGCCAATTTGTCAGATAATAGTTATTTCACAGTTTGATATTACATGTAATATCCAATTGAAAGGGATTACTGACCTTAAAATTTACCAAAACACAGAGTGTTTAAAAAAATCCAAGATGGTGAATATTCATAATGGCGGCCAGAATTTCCGTAAAATGATCGATTTTCTGTTTAATGTAGCTTGTAATATGTCTTTTTAAGCAAATAACACACTATTTGTGGATAACAATTACTATAGTTTATTTCACTGTGACGTTTCAACAAGATTTTACAAGTCCTTACCTGGGAGCTGTTTCAACACATGAAATATATCTTCACATGGTTTAATTTCAGGTACGATACCGAGCTGCTTGGTTTTTAATCTTTTGTAGTTTGTTGATTTTCAAGAAAGGTAGATTGAACACATCAGAATTACAGTAATTACAAATAAAAACAAAGGCATCATCAAGCATGTTAGCAATGTCGATGTCAATAAATGGACGCAGTAGTGGGAATTTTTTTTTTTTTTACTAAGCAAGTTAATACGAGTATTGAATTGAAAGTTACTTCCACACATGACCCTAAATTCTTTACAGATTCAGTCGGTTTTAGTTTAATATAACCAACAGAAATATGATGAAGGTGGCAGATTCCAGAATTGTATGTTGCCTATGTGTATGGCATCGTTTTGTCGTCATTCAATTTTTGATAAAACAAAAATACATTTCATCCAGTGTCGTTTCTTTACACACACGCATCAATTCCTTCGATATTTACATTAGACTTGTTTAATTCCAAACAAAGTTTGTATCATCGTCTTACAGCAGATAATTAGTAAAATTTACTCGAATTATATACCCGATGGGTGAAGCGTAGAGTGTGAATAAAACAGATCCAAGAACGAAACCCTGCGACACTCCATATTTTAGAAATGTGGGATATGATAGACGCTCATTTTTTTGAACTGATTAGCCTGACAGGTATGATGTAAAACACTAGAAATCAGAAAGTTGGATTATAAATATTAATGCGAAACGATTACTCACAACTGCACTGGCTTTATCCCCATAGGATTTCAGTTTAGCTTGCGGCACAACCAATGGGTGCTTATTTTGTGAGCGAAGTTGTCGATTTGGTTGATATGATTGATTGAGATCCGCGAGGTAAGTTGGGGAAAGATCATGTTGACACATATAAACCAATGTTAGAATCCAGGCTTCTATGGGTAACCAATGTAGTGATTTTGAGATGGGAGTCATGTGAGAGCACTTTTGTGTTCTTGTTATTATTCTGGGGTGTTTTGAATTTTTTGGAAGTTTTGCTCACGAGTTTTGGGAAACTCCATTCAAAGCACTGTGTCAGTAATCGAGCCTCAAGATGGATCGATAGTATCGAAAGCTGCACTTAGATCGAACTGTTTATTATCTATATTGGTTATAACGCCGTTGTGGTTACTGAGCAATGTTGTCTGCGTGCTATGAATGGCTTTATGTACGTATTAAAATTTTAGTAATAGAATTTGATTTAAGCAACCGTGGCATAATGTCAGAACTATAAACATTACATGCGCTTCTGAAGTTTGGATTTGATGTGGGTCAGTGATAGAATCTTTGTTAATGGTCTATTAAAAGTTGATAATGCAGTTTTGACATGACAAATAGTTACTGTTGTCTTTGGTGATCACATAAAGATGTCTTTGGTTTCTCTGCAATAAATAACAAAGTATTTAGTAACCTTTTGTACCATTCTGTTCTAATTAGCTCTTATCTGTGCCATCAATAATAGACCAATACAAAGTTTTAATAACGTCTGCATAAAAACATTATGTGCAGATTCTATATTAAACCTCGCACAAATAAACTATAGAACCAATGCTGCCTAAATTGTCATTGTCTTTCATAGGGGTAATTCTAATATTTTGGAGTCCGTTATACCTCAGCCATTTGTTTGTAATGCGTATTATACATGTAAAATGTGCATTTTTATGGAACGTTATTCCGATTAGTATGTAAGGTGTTTTAAGAACGTTTATGCTAATCGGAATATCTTCATAGTGCAAGCTGTTCATGTTACATGCATGTGGTTGATAAATTAGGAATGGTTGTGGTTGCTGTTTCCATATCCGCCTGATACTTAATTTCGTCACGCACTTCGGACACGGCTTATCCGTTTCACTGCCCAACTGATGCCATGTTTCTAAACTCTTCAGAAAGGCCGAGTCATTGGGGGCAGGGAATGGTTTTATTGCCACTGCACTCTTTCCGTCAACAAATTGCTGAACAAAATTACAATCGGGTTCTGGACAAGAAAATATTTCTGTAGGTTGAAACATGAAAGTGAACTTCGAAATAAATATTTCATATTCACTTCCATACAAATCAACTGATATTTGGCTAAGAGTCATGTTTTCCAAAAAAATGATACTTACCCTCAAAATCCAAACCTTTAGAGAGCAACTCAACGCTTTTAATTAACCTCTGTATTACAGCGTGGTTCGTCTCTTCAAGTTCGAAAGATGAGAAGTCAGTCATAATCTTAACAAAACATGCCCTGTTACACAAAAATATGGCAATAAAGTTATCT